AAATCTTTCTAAATGCAGAATATAAATGTCTTAACACAGTAACTAAGAAAATGCCATGAAGGCTATGTTAACCAGTTTGGTGAAAATATTTCAAATTGTATATAAAACCAGCACACTTTACCCCATGACTGTATTAATATACACAACTATGATTTAATAGAAAAAAGAGAAAATAAAAATTAAAGCGTTACTTACTATTTTTAAAATTTTTAGCTTATTCATTTATTTAGCAGACTCAGGCCAGGTTTGAATCTGCCATTCCTGCTACATGGGGCCGGTGCTCAAACCACTGAGCTACTTGAGGCTGGCACTCTATCCACTGAGCTACAGGTGCCCACCTACCTGCTGTTTTTTAAAAAAATTTGAGCAGGACTGGTGTTGATTCTTTTTAAAATATTTGGTAAAATTCATAAGTGACACCATTTGGTCCAAAGCTTTCCTTCATTTAAAGTTTTTGGATTAGTAACAATCTCTTACAGATCTATTCAGATTTTCAACTTCTTGAGTCAGTTTTGGTAGCTTGCAAGCTTCTAGAAACATGTCTCTTTCATCTAGGTTACGTAATTTGTTAGCATGTACCTGTTCTTAGTAGTCCCTTATAATTTATTTCTGTATGATTAATGGTGGTATTTACTGTTTCATTCTTGACTTTAGTAACTTGAATCTTTTTCCTTGATTGGTTTAGCCAAAGTTTTATTAACTCTACTGATCTTTTCAAAGAATCAACTTTGTGTTAACATTCTTCTTTTTTATTCTGTATTTCATATTTTTGCGCAAATCTTTAGTATCTTTCTTTGTGGTTTAGTTTACTCCTCTAATTTCCTAGGATTGAAGTTTAGGCTATTGCTTTGGTATCCTCTCTGTAATTACAGGCATTTAAAGCTATAAATTTCTGATCATTGCTTCACTACATCTCATAATTCTCAATATGAGACAGACTTTCATCTGTCTCAAAGTATTTTCTAATTTCCCTGTGATTTCACCTTTTACAAACTGGTTACTTAAGAATATGTTGCTTAATTTCCACGTAGTAGTGAATTTTCCTAATTTCCTTGTTATTGATTTCTAGCGTCACTCCGTTGTGGTCAGCAAGTATATTTTGTATGATTTCAGTCTTTTTTAAATTTATGGAGTCATTTTGTGACGAATGTTCTACATGCACTTGAGAAAAACCTGTATCTGTTGTAGAGTGTTCTGTGTATGTCTGTTAGGTCCAAATGATCTATAGAGAACTGTTCAGGTTCTTGATTTCCTTACTGCTCTTCTGTCTTGGTGTCCCACCCATTATCGGAAGTGGGATGTTGAAGCCTCCAACTACTGCTGTTGAATGGGCTATTTCTCTTTCAATTCTGTCACAACCTGTTTTATGTATTTTCAGGTTCCATTGTTAGAGGTGTGTGTGTATCCATAGTTATATATTCTTGATGAATTACCTTTTCTCATACTTTGTTCATAATTTTTAAGTGTGATACTTCTCACAGCCATCTCCAGGATGGAGTCCAGGCTTCCTCGTGCATGTCTCACAGTAGAAAATGGTTTCTCGCCTTCCACCGTTCTCATCTCTCTGCTGCAAATCATGCAATCTTTGGAAATTTTTTTTTCATTTTGCATTATAAAATGCATCTTCCCTATTTGCCTTTCCTCAGTGTGAGATGGTCTTCCTCTCTTTCTTGAGTTTCTGTTCCTCACGTTGCTCACAAGCTTTCTTTACAAGATTTCTCATGTAAAAAAGGTACGTTGGTTCTTTTCCACTCTCCTTTTCTAAAGAGTAAAGGATGTAACCTGTTCACAACTGCAGTTTCCATCAGCCAGAATATTTTTTCCACCATTTGCAGAATCTCCTTATAAATCTGTAACATCCACAATACTAATCAGCTTGTCTGCTCCTCTCATAAACTTTGTATATTCTAAAATAACTGCTGGTTTTTTAAACTGAACACATTTCCTCCTCTAACCTGTGATCAACTTGTGTGTGAGGAGCAAAGAATATATTCAGCATTGTCACTAAACTCTTGTCATGGAATGAGAAGTGTATTATTTTTTTATCACACTGATAAGTACATAAGTCATATTCCTGATGTTTCTTTAGTACCCCCAAAGCAGCATTAATTAACCCAATGAATTCCAAAATATTTATTTTAGAAGTCTGGCATTTCAATAATTACCCATCAGGTAATTATCCTGACACATGGTGCTGTCAGGATACACAAGGACAATAGCCGAAGAGTTACACAAATTAAATACACGGTTCTTAAACCCAATAAAAAAAAATGTTGTAAGTATCAAAACTTCAGATTCATGGCACTAAAAAGATTTGTGCACGTGGTAATTTAAAGAGCCAAAACAAAGTGCTACTGAAACCTCGGCTTAAACAGCTTATTACAAAGCTGACAGAAAGGAGCAAGTTGTCCCTCTGTATCAGCTTCCCTTAACAGTTTTCCATTAGCTGAAAAAGCAGGTGGGAGGGGTGAATACATCTTTGCATGTACAAGATGTACTGCTTGACAAAACACTTATCAGCCTGTTTCAAATGAATCTTTTAAGTATCAACTGCAGTGCTGGCTATTCTCCTTTCTAATCTTTCCCCTTACTTTCACCTGGACTTCCCTAGATTAACAGGCATAGTACAATGTCTCATTCAGAATGCACTTCTCTGCACATTTCAAAAAAGCAGCTCCTGTGGGCTCAAAGCAACCCTCAGTATAGCAATGCTCATGAAGACGTAGGAAACTGCTTTCCAAGGGACAGGAGAGCAGATCCGAGTAGCTCTGCTGCCAACACAGACAAGTTTATTTAGCACTAGATACTCAGTGATTGTGGCAAGGAAGAACTGGTGATGATGGGTGTTGGGTGAAAGAAGGGTGAGGGATCCCAAGGATCTTGAGTTGCCTTCTCCAGCTTCTTCATCCTGCTGGCCACTTACCCAGAGGGTGAGGTTGCTCACAATTGCATGATGAGTGTGGAGTCCCTACAGCAGTGTTTTTCAATCTTTTTTATCTGACAGCACACTTAAACCTAGTTGAACTTCCACAGTATATTTAAATTACGTTGATCAAAAAGAGTTAAAAGACAGAACATACTTATTGAGCTCTGAACTTCTTCCCAAAATAATTTAATGAATGAATGATCTTTAAAAATTTTCATGGCACACCCAAGATCCTCTCATAGCACACCAGCTGAAAATCACTGCCTTATAGGAATCCTTGTTTACTATGTTCAGCTCAGCTATGGCACCATGGAAGGCTCCTTTAGCTAAGAGTCCTGCTTGCTCAGGTACATTCTGGGCCTCATAGAACATGGAGAAGCTGAGGGCCAGGCCCAGCCCGATGGGGTATGTCAGTGCATTTGCTCTTTGCTGAATTCAAAGGTTTCCATGTAGGCTTCTTCAGAACTTCAACCACACTATTTTTCTTCTCCCCAGAAGCTACCTTTGCCACGGAGCAGTAATCACCTTTCATTTTCAGGTAAAACACCTCGCTCTCATACTGGAAATCACTGTAGTTCTTAGTGAGGAACTTCACTGCACACTATCTCCAGCTCCTTCTCAATCTTCTCCCAGTAAACTTTTAACTTTCTCCAATTTCTTTTCATTTCCATCAGCCATGGTTTTTTGCTCACTGCTGCTAGTGACCCTCCATCCAATCCCCTCATACCAGTCTTGTAGGCCAGAGAGAGATTTTGATCTTCACTTGGGAGACGTTCATGCTCTGTCTGCTCAGCCAGCTGCACCCACTGCAGCACCTGCTCCCTCACCACTGGCTCACTAGTCTGGTCCCAGGTCACCATTGAGCACACTGGCTGGCCGGCCTGTGGCTGTTGCGAGCTATAAGCAATTCACAGCTCATGCCCTTTTGCTAGCCAGCCCCTAGCGCTGTCCTGAAGATTTTCAGATCACTTGGAAAATTGTTCCTAGAAGCCGTAACTGTTCCTGTTATATGTATTTTCATTTTATGCAATTCACAACGAATTTGAGAGCTTATGTAGAACCTATCAATGTAGACAGCTTGAACCACTTGTATGTGCTTGAAAATTTTGTGCCAAATGAATCAGGACAAATAAGACTTTCTGGCTTGTCTTGCCA